CATCTTGAAAATAAAAGAACGTGTCCCTTCAACACAGTAATGGTTTAGCCAACTGTACCGTACACACACTGTAATGTATCCTGTACAAAAGAAACATTCTATGCCCAGGTTAACTGACATGTTATGAGGTACATGTACATGTAATATAAATGTACACCTGTGCATGCTCTGACTTGATGGAGTTAAGGTGCACTTTATGTATGCATAATGTAATCAGATCACAGCCATGTTGTGTTGAGTGTCATGTCATGTTTTTTTAAAAGTTGACAACATCACAACATTTGATAATTTATGTGCCTGCATAATACCTGCACTGTGTACATGTACATGTATGTGCCTGCATATACACATGTGTAGGAATGACTGAGAGACTGGCTACAGATGCATACACTTGCTTGACTGACAACATCCAAGTTGTCATGTCCAACAATGTCTTTCTACTGAGTTAAAATTATTCCACTTGTCCCCTTTTTGGTGGAAGATACATAAACATCACACACACACAATAAGCACCCAGAATGTTACCTAGTTGGAAATCCTCCAACTTCAATCTGACTGTTCACACAAGTTAGAAAGTTAGGGTTCCAATTCCATAGTACCCTCCCACGCCTACATGAATTGACACCCCCAGAGGCACGTGATTTAAAATCTGATCTAGAAATTAGAAGGCATTCAGAATTTAACTGATGCACATGTATGTGCATGTCTTAACTTGTTTTACGCTGTAAGAACTCAGAGTGATCTTAAACAACTCTTCCAATAACATCTCCACACTTTGACTTGTATTTTCCTTGTGCAGAGCCCTCAGAGATTTGATTGATGCCTGGAATACATTTCGGCACCAATGTTACAAAATGTTCCTGGCAAAAATGCCGTATGTGCTAGGGTGTTCTGAAGTGCAATAAAGCAAGATAAATTCCCAAATTTAATAATTCAATGGATCTAAAAGGATGCTGAAACTCACATATTTTCCTTCCTTTAAATTGTCCGACGTCACCCTCTGAGCAAACGAGAAATACAGCTGTCTCATCCTGGAATCACCAATGAATAGCACTCGCTGTCCCTCCAGGCATTTGGAAGAATCTCTGCAATCACAGTATGAAGGCACATAGGACAAGACGGTGTGATACAGAGGTATGAAAGCATGGTTAACCACTTCATGCCGGGGCATTTTTCAATGTTGATGATGCTGGGCCAGCATGACTATCATTTTTTCCGTTTTCTAAATCC